CTGGCCCTGCTGCCAGGGCCTGAAGAAAGTCACTGCTGGCTGAAACTCAGAGAAGCAAGAGCAGCCTGGGGCTTTGGCCAGTGTGTGACTTACACTGTCAGCACACCCACTGTCACTGGTGTGGGGGCTTCCCCAGCAGCTCCCTGTCCCTTTTCCTGCCGCCTATGAGACAAACCCTTGGTGCAATGGTGGCCTCCAAGAAGGCTGGCAGCCCCCTGCCACTATCCCTGCAGTTTGAGGAGGGCTGAGGAAGCACCCGTGCACATCCCTGTGCAACGCAGGCGCTGCTCCTCATAATGCTGGTGGAAAGGACAGCAGCAGCTGCCTGGCCCTGGAGGAGCCAAACAGGTATAAAGACAGGGCTTGGTGCCCAGCCCTTGCTTGCTGCCAGCAGGGGCCTGCCTGGGGAAAGGCAGGGTGCCAGGGCTCCCAAAATTTGAGGCAGCAGCAGCAAGCAAAGCAGGAAGAGCTGATGAAATTTCCTGCAGGGCCTGGGAGGTATTTGCTGAAGAAACGTGCTTGGTGGCGTTCGAGTGGGGCCATTACCTTTGGCATCACGCGCTGATGAGGAGCCGCGTGGCTGCGGCTGAGGTCACGGGAGGCAGTGACAGAGAGGTTTGCCTGAGCCACAGAAGGTGTAAAGGCTCCTGTCAGGGGTAGGCAGAGGTGGTGTAGGGAAACCTGTAGCTGTGGCAGAGGCCTGGGAAACAGGAGAGCTCCCTAACGCCCAAGGGGGACAGGAGCAGCCACCGCCCTCAGTGAGGGCCTGGCTGGTGATGGAGTCGTTCATCACATGGGAATTTGATGCTTCTTCCCCACTTAGCACAAAAGTGTGCTGCTTCAGGCTGCCCTCAGCCCCCTCCCCTACAAGCAGAGGCCTGAGAGAGCCCAGGGTTTCCGTTCTGATGGTGCCAGTGGGCTTTATCAGCTGAAAAAGGATCCTGGAAAGTACTCTGTGGGGCTCGAGTTTGAGGTGTGCATAAAACCAAGGAAGACTGTGGTACTGATTCTTCACTATGGCAGAGATGGGCAACCTTAACCCACTTGGAGCATGCAGCTCCTCACTAGGACTGCTGCTATCCCTAGCCTGGGATGTGCCAGGCTCTAAGTATAAGCCAACTCAGGCCAGCCTGCTTTTGTGCCCGATCTCAACTGCAAACAGCTGCTGTAAATCCAGGGCTGATTTTCCTACTATTTTGTAGGGTGAAGTCATCCCTGTCTGGCCACACTTGAAGGTCTAGTCATGAGCCTGCTGTGTCCCAAGGCATGAGTCAAGGGAGGGCACGTGTGCGCAACACCGTGCAAGGTGTGTGTCCCTGCCTGCGGCTCGGACGCCCTCACTGCCCACCGCAGTGTTTGGGGGAGATCCAGGGTTACCTCAGCCTGCAGCGGGGTGTTTCTGAAGCCTGCAAGGAGTGCAATGAAGAGAATTCAGGTCCCTTCCCAGCTCCCTGTCCCCCTGCCTGTGAGGAAATTGGCTGCAGATTTAGGGCTTGTGAAGCCCCTGGTCCGTGTGGCAGCCAGATGTGGCTGGGTGGGTCTGATGGACACCCCTGGCTGCAGAGCACCACTTGTGAGCTTTCTTCCCTCCAGTCTTGCCCTGACAGAATAAACCCTGATGCCTACACTTTGTGTGCTTACAGGGATGGACAGGGTCTTGCAGGAGGGACAGCTGTGATTTATGTGCTGTACCAGGATGGCAGTGGGGTGCTGCTCAGCCGGAAGTAAGAGACGGCTCCTCTCACAGCTGCTCTGCTGCTGGTCAGATCCTCTGGTCTCAGCTCACTGTTTGCTTTTGCTGACCTATTTTCATCTGCTGTGCCCAGCACATGGCTGAAGAAGTTGGGAGCTAGGGCAGCTGCTCTTCCTGGGGATTTTTCTCTCGCTGTAGGGCCATGAGTCACTATCTCTGTCAGAGCATGAAATGGAATTTGCTTAACCCCACGTTGGAGACCAGAAATGGGTAGGTTTGCTTATGGTCTGCTTTGCTGCCAAAAAAAAAAAAAAATAATAAAAGAAGCCATTTGCCTTCCAAGGCTCAGACAACACCTAGGTGCAGCTCATCCCACTGTGGATCAGCAGCACTGTGGGAAGGGCTCTGTTTGCCTCCTAATAAACAGCTAACACAAACCTCATGTACAGAAGCAGGAGCCACTTCCCTCTGGAGACATGCCTGGCCTTTAGTTGCCATCCTGTTTGACCCTGTGAGGGCTGGAGGAGGCTGCACAGGCGGGTGGGTTGTGATCTGTGGCACTGGGGTCACACAGGCTGAGGTGAGTGCTTGGCATCCACTGCCTGGCCTGGCAGGGCCCATCTGAACTGGCCAGCCAAGCCCACAGCCTGGCCCCTGCTGCTTGAGGGTGCACTGGGAAGCACCAGCAGCTTTGGGAACAGCACCTTTTCCTTTAGCCACGTGCACCCCAGCGCTGGAGCAGGGGAAGACGTCTGTCCTGCTGCCCACTGTGGTGTGCCATCGGGGTGAGTGACTCCACAGCCTGATTCCTGGTGTGTGGTTGAGTTTTAAGTCAGGGCAAACCTTTGCCCTTATTTCTCAGCTTAAGAAATAATCCAGTTCTCACCCCTGTCCCATTCCCTCCACTTACAACCTATGCACAAACTCGCTGAGCCAACTAAACCAGGTGTACTTCACATCTTCACTCTCTCAGTGCAGGTATCTTACAGGGCTCATGTTTATTTTGGATTTATGCACCTGAAATCAAGAATGGTTCATATGCAGCGGGGCAATGTGTATTTATATATCCTCTTTAAGCTGAGTGGATATGGGACTGCTAATCCTTTCTGACAGGAAGGTCATCCTTGAGAGTGGTGCCCTGGGAGGGCAGGCACGTGGAGCTGGGGGAACTGTGCCAGCCGGCGGGGGATGCCCTGAGCCAGTGGCTCCTCCATCTGTGAACAGCTCCTGGTTCCTCGGCCTTGACAGCAGCCCCTTTTCCCTCTGTGCTGCCTTCATCTTCCTTGGCTGCTTCTGGCTCTGATAAGGTCACTGCATCTGAAGCCTGGAGACCATCTCCCTCTCCAGTTTTACTTCCAGTACTGCAGTCGTTCCTCTCTTTGCTGTAACACCGCCTCCAGCAAGGCAAAACCCCCACAGCAGGACCTCTGAGGTCCTGAAAAGTCTCCAGCAGGACCTGGTTGTGACTGATACTGTGCCCTTCGTGTCAGGTGAGATGGGTGACAAAGAGGGACAGCATCCATACTGTCCCTAGCACACCTGAGGTGTATTTGTGGGCTCCTGCTTGTGCAGGAAAGGGAACAGACCTGGCATGAGGATAAAACCCTTTCCCAGAAAACTCCTCTTTGCAGCAGCTGCACGAGTCCAGCCCTGGTGGCGGTGGCTGTGGAAGTGGGTGGCCTGTTGGGCTTGGAGAGGAGCCCCACAGGTCCCCATGGCAGGCACATGTGCAGGACAGTGTTGTGGGCAGTGCTCATCAGGCAATGAGTGAGGAGGGTGTGGGCCCTTGTCCTGAAGGAGGTGGAAGCTTTCTGGGATGAGCCACTTGGTGCTCTGGGGGCCTGGAGTGGTGCAGGAGGCTCCCAAAGGGGCCCACCTGGCAGAGGAGGCCAGGGCAAGGTTCTGCTTTGCTGGTCTACCAGCCTGCTCCCCTGGGGCCACCATGGCTTACCCATGGGTGCTGGGGTGGCTACAGATGGGGAGGGGGCAGAGCTCAAGGAGAGCCCCTGTTTCATCTGTAGCCATAGGCTGTGGCATCCCCACCCCTGGTACATTCTCTGCCAGTGCTGGGACCCCCACCTCTCCTCAGAGTGACAGAGGGCTGTGGGTGCAGCCAGCGGGTTCACAGTGTGCTGCATGGCCAGAGGCTCTTCTTCCTGTAGCTCCAGCAAAAAACAGCAGCACAGTGATCAGGAGCACTTCCTGGCGCCCCTGTGAGTTGCTGGCAAGTCCCTGATGGCCAGGCCACTGCAGCTGAGTCCTGCCACCCACACCCTGTCCCCACAGGTTTCTGGGGTGTAGTGTAGGGCTGTGATTACCACCAAACATGCTGAAGCTGTAGTATCTATTTAGAATATGTCATATATTTGTTTTTAATGAGATGGTATGGAGCAGTTCATACAAAAAAAAAAAAAAGAAACATGGGTGCTCCCCACCCGTTGTCCATAAAGCTCTGTAAGAAATGGCCCATGCCCAGCAGCCAGGAATGCCAGGCTCAGGGCAGGGAACACCCAAGGGCAGCTGCAGTGAGCAGGGCAGTGCTGCTCCAAGGGGAAAAGTGCCTGTTTTGTAGCTGCTTCTGCACTGAAGATAGCAGGTAGCAGGAAACATACCTTCTTTTTTGGTGGGTCATACAAAACCCCTTTCCCAGAGGTAAGTCCACATCTAGACAAGAATCTGGATGCTGTTCTAGCAGGGTTAGGAGGGTTCTCCTTGGCAGAGTTGGCATAGCTGCAGCTAACTAGTCAAGCAGTGCTACCTCCCATTGTCCAGCTGCATGTTAAGTTGGTGCAGTTCAGGTCAGGCGCCGTGTCCTACCCCCGGGGTCATGGCTGAGGACCACCCCCAAGACCAGGAGATGCTGCCTCTCTGCTGGGAACCACTAAGGGCCCTGTTCTGGCAGGGCTGTGCCTGGGCTGCTCCAGACCCGGGTGCTCAAAGTCCTGGTGGCTCCCACTGAGGGACAGGCAGACACTGTTCGCTGCCCCTGCTGCTCTCCTAAGTCCAGATCTGCCCCTCTGGGCCCTCTGCCCCCTGTACCCCAAGTGGCTCCGTGGGAGTCAGGTGAAATGCTGGCCGTGCTGATGACCTCGGCCTTCCCGAGGGCTGGAAGGAGCCACTCGGGAGGTGCCGTGCCAGGATCTGACCCTGCTGGTTCTCGCACAGGCCTTTTGCTGACAGGTTTTCAAGGAGGGAGCAGCTTCCACCGTGGGCACCGTGATGGACCTTGTGTGAAGGACACACCAGGGAGTCGCAGGGGGTGTCCCAGAGTGGGTTGCATTCCCATCTCCTCCCGTCCCACCGCTCCGGCCGGTGGCAGCTCCGTCCCCCCGGGTCTGTGCCGTGTAAGACGCGTGGCAGGCGGGGTCACCGCAGGAGCAGCACCAGCGGCAGGAGCAGCAGCGTCGGCGAGACGGAGATCTCAGCAGCGCCACCACAGTCTTGGGCGTTTTCCTGGGAGATGGGAGAGAAGGGGTCAGCCTGCTCACTGCCGGGGCGGCTGCAGGTGGAGGGAAAGGATCCCACCCGTCACCTTTGGGAAGGGGAGCAATGCCTGTGGCCAAAAGGAAAGAGGCAAAGGAAGGGACTGGTTTGAGCAGCCGCCTGCAAGTTTGCACTTGCCTCCTCGGCTCCTAGTGGTGGGGGAGGTTGCTCCTGACCCTCTGGTGTCTGAGCTCAAGACCTTCCCAGGTGGTATTAATGTAGGAGGGTCCTCCTGCTAGGAAGCCCCTCAGGGATTCACATGGCTGTGTCTGGGTCCAGCCAGCAGGATGGGCATGTGATATACCCGATGCGAGGGTGCAGGAGAAGACATTTGTGCATGGGTAACAGGCATGCCCACGGTGAAATTCAGCTGTGTGCCCTCCCTCCCTCTCTCCCATGCTACCCCGGGGTACCTCAGGGTGGAATGCATGGCAGGTGTCCGGCCGCCGTCGCAGCTTCTGGGACCGCATCCGTTCACACTTCACTGAAGCGTTATGTGCGAGGCTGTTAAGGACAACGGCAGCAGCAGGCAGGGAAAAAGGGGATGAACACAGCACAGAGATACAGGGCCCGGATGCAAGTTTGTACAGGTGTAACTGCACGACCTGAGAGACAGAGCAGGGAGGTCAAGGGAAAGGCAGGTCACCCTGCATGGGCTGGAGATTTTTCCAAGCTGTCCCACAAGTTGGGTTGTACCCTCTACCCCCACGGCAATTGCACCAGAAGCGCATTTTCCACCCTAGCAAATATGAAGATGAAGGGGCCTGTGGAGCTGTGCATCCCTGCTGGATGTGGAAGGATATATTTGACCTCTTTTGGGTCCATTGGGACAGGTGGGAAGATGCTGCAATCACAGACAGCATCCGTGACGAGGAGCAGGAGATTACTGCTGACGATCTGCTGTGCCACAAACATCCTGCAAGAGAAGAGCAGATAAAGAAAGCACATCCTTCCAGCTACAACACCAGAGCTGCATTGCCTGAACCACAGCAAAGAAAACAGAGATCATCAGAAACAGGATGTCAGTCATGGAAGGCAGGAGAGACCCAGGGAGCAGATGTACACGGGGGGGAAGTGGCGCTGGCACACCCTTTTGGCCTCAGAAAACTGAACTGGCTCACATTTACAACTCCGTGCTAGGCACAAAAGCCAAAATCGAACCCAAAACCCAACCAACCAACCAAACCCAACACAAGATGGGGCAGAACATCACAGCAGATGACATTGAGAAAGCCTGGTTTCGTCTGGAGGTACGTCAGTGCCCATTTAACATACATTTATGTGTATGCTCATACTATGCAAGGATGTCTGTATTATGTGGTCCTGCGAGGAGCAGTGCTTTGCTAAATTTCATGTCAGCGGAGAGAGACATAGAGGATCCCAGCAGCACCCTGTGTTACATCGGTGTGATGGGACCGACCAACCGATGCTCGAAAATCGCACGGCTTTGCTTTGCAGCCACAGTTTCGCCTGCCCCTTCCCCTCCCTGTCGGACAAGCAGGCTGTGACTTGCGGTGACGAGCACAGGCACGTGCCTGTGGTGATGTCTCTGGATGGAAGCGTTTGCCCGAGGACGTGCACGTGAGGGCTGAGCCGGCAGGCAGTGCAGGCATTGAGTGGGCAGGGCAGGACGAGGGCAGGACGTGTGTTGGCTGAGTGCAGGGTTTTCTGCATGAGTGCTGTGCACGTGGGGGTGTGTGGGCAGCTCGGATGTGCCTCTGTGCTCACGAGGCTGCATGTGCCTGTGACTGAGGGTCTGTGCACTGGCACGTGCACATCAGTCACATGGGGTGCGTGTCCAAGCACACAGATGCCGGTGCCACCACAAGGTACTGTACATGTCTGGGCATCTCAGCAACCTGCCCAATGCCTTGCAGCCATCACGTGTCATTCACCAGCACAGAGGCTGCAGCCACCCAAAGCAAGGCTGAGCTGCCCACGCTGCCATCCCCCTCTGCTTGCTGGCAGGGAGCTGGCAAGCTGTCCTGGAGCTGCTGGGCACAGGGAAGGCTGGGGATGTCGGGCTCAGTGTGCCTGCACTGGTGGCAGGGCTACAGTGGTTCTGTACACTCCCAGTCCTGCTGAACACCGCTCGGCCAAGGGAGAGGGCTTCTGGATTACAAATACAGGTTTGTGAGGATGTGCCCACTGCACTGTCCAACCTGGCTGTGCTGGAGGAGCACCCTGTCTCCATGGTTATTCACTACCTTGTCTCGCTGCCCTCTAGCCCCCGGGGATCTCTGTGTTCCCTTTCAGAGGTGTTGAAGGTTGCACACTGCAGCTGACCATTTCATTAGTGGCTTTTTCACTAATGACTGCTTTGGGAGCTTTGACAAGCAGGCTTTAACAAATTCAGTAACCAGGACAGAGGTGCTCCATGCACTAATCTGCAAGCCAACTTCTTCCCCAGCATGGAACACCCAGCCTACCCTCACTCCACAAGGAACTACCTGGGCTTGTGGAACGGGATCAGGAAAGCCTGCATGCCTGAGCTAATGCTTCACAGAGCCTGTGACAGGGTGTGTGTGTGTCTCTCCCAAACACCTGCACAAAAGATGCACAAGAGATGCACCTGGGATCCAGAGGCTGCAACCACACCTGTAATTACAAAGGAGCTGAGCACTGTGAAGGACAGGATGCAGCACCTGCTGCTGTGACGCTGGTGAGGTGCTGCCTCCAGCAAGGAGGGGTCAGTCCCAGGCTGTGTTGGTGCAGAGATCTGTGCAGCAAGATATTAACAGGCCAATTTAGGGCAGTCAGCTCCTCTGGATCTGCCCAGAGCTTAATGCCCCTACACAATACCTTGTTGTCACCAAATCTGCAATCTCTTCTGAAACAATGTTTGGCAAAGCCTGGTTTTCCTACAGTCATGCTGACTAGCACAGGCTGTTTTCCTAACCTTTAAGTCTTTCCTGCAGTTGATCCAAGACTGAAGTCAGACCAGGTAGGATTTTTATTTTTTTTTAATGGGAATTCCAGTCAGATCTGTTTGGATGCCTCATGTTAGGAAAAGCTGGACCAGTGGAAATTCATCTTTCTGTCACCTTTCCACACGTGATTGCTGATGGCACTATGGAGCCACTGAAAACAGCCTTTTTCCACAAAGATTTTTCTATCTAACTTTGTACTCTTCCTTCTCTTAAAATGAAAATGGAAAATAAAACAGTGGACTCTTGTTTTCATTTCTTTCAGTTTCACGCTTCTTTTTTTCCCCCCATCCCTGCCTTTTTTTTGTTTGTTTGTTTCTGTAGAAAAACAGAAAAGGGGTAAAAGGAAAAAAAAAAGAAAGGAAAAGGAAAGCCGAAAGCATTGCAAAAAGGAAAATTTTCTAAGAAAACCTTTGCCAGAAACATGAGAAAACAGAAAAAGTTCCTTTCTGAAACCTGTGGAATGGAAATATATATATATATATATTTGAATGCTCTTTTCTTCGTTCTACAGCTACCTCTGCTTATTAACAGATGGTTCTAAATTTTTGTCTCTTTTATCCAGAACAAATAATCTGGTCTCTTCATCTCCTCCCTGTCCAGCACAGCTGTTTAGCTCTGCTCTGCAGCCACAGCTGGAGATACCGTGGTGGCCACGCCATGGGCAAAGCAGCAGGTGACTCTCCTCAGGTTGCTGTCATCGCCAAGGGGCCCTTTGACAAGGCTTGTGTGCCATCCCCCTGGGGGACCCCCCTCAAATGAAAGGGAAGCTGCAGTTCTTACTTTTGGCAGTCTCCACACTCAATCAGCCCGTTGGTCTCCTTGATGGCCGGCTCGTACACGAAAACGGGGTACTCGGTGTCACAGGGCTGCAACATGTCATGTTTCTTGTGCTTGTGAGCTGCGAGGGCAAGGAGACAAGGTGAGATGGGTGAAGGGCAGAGCATCACACAGGAGCTGCCTGCACTGAGATGGAAGCATTTAAAACTGGTGACACAGGCTGGAGGAGCAGCCCTGTGTGCCTGCTACCCCCTCAAGAGTGGCAAAGAGCAGGTGCCTACCAGAGAATAATGGGAAGGAGGTGCTGCACAATGCAGCCAGGCAGTGATCCCTGCTCCCACTAGGTGGTGTGGGAAAACCAGTCTATGTGAGAAATGCACACAATATTGCCACTTGCCTTCCCCCAGCAAGCCCAGACCCTGTTATGCCCAAGCCACAGCTGTGGGACTGCAGTGGCCACAGTACCCCAGGGACCCCCTGCCCGGAAGGAAGGGTCATTTGAGCACTGGTACCCTTCTGTTCAAAGGAGCAGTGGGGTCTGACTGAACCAGCAGCATTAATGAAGTCCCTCCTGCCTAACCCAGCCCTCGTTCACTTTTTTAAACATTGAAACCTGTGACTGGGCTGGTCCTCAGTGCCTGTGCCAAGGGATCTGCCCCTGCGCGAACCCTGTGTGTCCACGGTCAGATTCATCAACTGCTGATCCCTCCTGAGCCCTCTGATGCTTCAGAGCGAGCCCACAGCAGGAAATTTGAGGGGCTGAATATTTGTCACACTAAGAAACCACGGCCAGCAAACAGATCTGGCCTGAGACCACAGGAAAGCAGATGATGGCTCTCAAGGACCAGCAGAGACCCAGCTCAGACACAGCAGTGGCTCCTGGAGGGAGCCATCCACCGCAGAGGCAGGGAGCAGCTGCTCCATCACTCATCAGTCACACTCTGTGGGACTTCCAAACTAATTTGGGGATGAGGGGGAGCTGGACTGCCTTATTAAGCCTCCCTCGAGAAGCAAGAGCATTCTTTCTAGGAGTTCAGCAAAATCTGTCTTGCCTGAAACTGCCGCCTTGGGCCCTTCTGGCAATTATTTTCTGCAGTTGGAGGTAGCAAAGGCAGCTCCTGCCTCTGTAGGACACAGGGGAATGCTGCCGATGGAAACGCCGAGCTTTGTTGCTAGGGCAGAGGTGGCTGCAGCTCAGCCAACAGCACGTATGAGAAATGGTTTCTACATCAGCTTCGGGTCTGAGCACAAAGCCTCACTTCGCAGCCCCCCTCGCACACAACAGCCACAGGCAGCCCTGCCGGGGGGAGGTGGGTGGGGACCAGCAGGGAAGAGGGTCCTCCGGATGGAGAGGGCGCCCACTTTACCCCGTGCAGCAGAAGCGCCGAAGATTTATAGAAAAATGCAGCATCATGGGTTTTAATCAGCAAATGTATGTTAAGAAGGCACCAAGAGGGCACCATGATTCCGATGGGTAATTTGCATCACTGTAGAACCCTCGCTGGGAGCAATGGTCTCCTTCCCCCCCGATGCTGCCAGAGCACGCAGACAGCAGCAGGCACCACCCGGTGGAGCTTGCCGTCTAAACAATGTGGATTAAATGAGAGGGAGAAAAAATGGATGATTTTCTCTGATTTTTCTCTCAGGAACTCCAGCCCAATTTCCCCTCTAAAGCCCTTCCCGGGTGAATATAATGGGTATTCAAGCCCTTCCCTGCAGTACAGAGTCCTCGGTAGGTTTTTTTGTGCTTTTCTTCTGAACTCTCGAAAAACAGTGCTCATGAGGCAGCCCCTTAAAATCCTCCCAGACTGTGGGACCCACCTGTCGGTCTCATGGTTAGGTTAATTTTACACAGATCCAAAAGCACAGAGAGCACGATTTCAGCATGGTGCCTTGTTTTGTATTCACTTTGGATTTACACTGAATTAATCAACTAAACTCCTCATTTCAGGGGCTGGCAGCACCTCTGCCCTCAGCCAGGAGCTGCCTGGCTGTGCTCTGTCACCATTTGCCGTCCCTCTGTGCGAACCCCACACCGCAGAAGCACAGAAAAGCCTCTCCCGTTTTTTGCTAATGGAGAATGCCTCTGTCACAGGGAACAAGTAGTCCTGAGGAGATTTGGGATGAGCAGAAGAAGACCCTGTTCCTGAGGCGAATTTCAAAGGCTTAGACATTTCCGATGGAACATGCAAAATATCAATGTTTGTGTTGTAAGGAGAGAAGCTGCAAATGCTTTCTACCTCAGACCACCTCCAGGACTGGTAACTATTCTGGCCAGTAAAGTCCCTAAACTAAGACCAAAGGAGTGCGAGGAACAGAGCGGGAACCCTTTCAGCCCTAATTCACTGTAGCTGAGGCCAGGAAAGCAGCCCCAAACCCTGGAACAGGTGGCCAGGCTAGTCTGGACTGGGAACAGACCTCAAGGACATGCTTGTGGCAAGGCCACACTGGTCTTTCAGCCACAAACCATCGAAGTCCTGTTGTGTTACCCCTGGATTTGCAGCACTGTCACTGCAGCCCAGCTGTTGGCAATGGACTGTGCCATTCTTGCTCAGAAGAGTGATGACCGCAAAGGTGACCTGATAAAGTTGGGGCAAACTGCTAGCAGGAATTTAGAGTATTGCTCATGTCAGGAGTGGCAAAGGGTCCTGACATAACAGGGATTTCATCCAGGACCTCAGTTTTTCCCTGTCCCTGGTAAAGAATGACATCCTTCTCTAGCTCCAGCTTCCTGTTATAATATCATCAAAGCAGATGGAGCTACAGTAATATAAAATACAGTGCTGTGAAGGACGGGGTGGAGGGAGGGAGTGAAAGAGACCATCGTCTTGGAAAATACAGAATGGAAGTCGATCTCAGGCCTCCCAGCCTCAACCAGCAATGAATGAGGGATGTCATGCTGGTCTTGGTGGGCTTGGAGAATGGCCTTGGGCCTCAAGGGGAATTAAAGAGACTGCATGTCCATACCTGGACAGCACTGTTTGCTGGCCTGACCTGCACACATGGGCAAGAGCTCTGGACACAGGACTAGAGAGCCAACACTTGGTCAGTAATTCTGGGTTGAACGACGCCGTGGTGGCACTCACAGGAGCAGCGTGTGCAGTGGGAAGTGCACCAGGTCTGGTTCCTTCAGAGGCACTTTTGCCTCTGGCATTATGGGCTGTGTCAGTCTCAGAAGGGGCATTTCTGGTTGAGTCTTTCATGACCCTTTGCAATTTGAGCTGCTCTGGGTTAACTTCATCGTGTGCACCAAGCTGTATTTTTAAACTCTGCTAAATATTGAGAAGTGCCCGGCACAGACAATCCTTACTCGGATTTTTTTGGAACAAGCTGAATGAAAAGAAGCCACTTCAAAATCTCCTAACTTCTGCACAGAGACAAGACCCATGACAGAGATTATACTTAAGCCTACTGCCACTTAATTCTCTTGGAAGCAACGCAGTTGCAGCAGTACTGAGAAGTTGTAGTATGTACATCAGCAGCAAAACGCTTGGGCTGAGCCTCTCAATGCACATGCTGGACATCAAAATGTTATCAGCGCCCTGAGAGTCTGGTGGTCAGGGATTAGTAAACAGCCAGCGGAGCTGATAACATATTGCAAACTTTATAGCAAAGAGTGAGTTAATTCCAGGCTGTCGTTGCTACCATCTGCACTTCCAGAAAGCCTTTGTCAGACATTTGGCAACCAATCCTTCTGAGCAGCAAAGGCAGCTGCCGTGCCTTGTTATGAACTATAGAGCCCAGATTGTGAACTCTTTCCCACCAGCATAAATCACGCGCCCGAGTCAGTGGATTTACTCTGGGACACGAGACAAAATCTACCACTTAGTTACCAATATAAAACACAGAATCTGATCAATTATCTTGTAAAATATCCTCTGTGTACATTACCATGCAGTAAAAAAAGGAAACTTTTATGATTTACAGAATTCTAGAAATAGTCCTTTCTAGGCTGCATGCCTTGGCTGGAAGTATTTTTGGCCTAATTAAAAGCTTTCAAACCTGGTGATGTTCATAAAAGCAGAAGCCCTTACAAACACAGAAAGAAATTAAGATGCTGAGAACAGTGAAAAATCTACGGCAGCAAACATGTCTTCTCACCCCCTCTGATAAGCAGATTTGTATGATGAGTGCAGTCTGAATATATCATGCCCATTTTCCAACAGCAAGTCTCACCTTCCCAGGAAACAAGAGAACTCAGGAAGCAGAAATAGGCTCAGTGCTGCAGAGCCAGAAGTACACAGTCAGGCAAGGGTGAGCATTAGAACCCTGATCATTAATTCCCCTGCACATAACCCGGAAAAAATGTGTGCTCAATTTCTCTCTCACAAAATGTCTCCTTCGCTTCATATTTTTTGCATACACCAGCCTTGGCATGCAGTCAAGAAAATGTTAACAACTCTGGCAAAAATCTACAGCCCCTTCTTAACAACATGTGCAATCCATTTCTTCCAGCCCCAATAGTATTCTTCCACCCCGCTACTCCCACACACACATGGACACTCATTTTTTTATCTGTAGACACCCTCTCCTTCTCTTCCTCTTCTTCATACAGTAAAATGCATTCCAACTGTCTCTATTTCTCTATCT